GATTTCCTTTAGCTTCCATAGTGTCGGATTTGGAATGTCCTGGTGTCAATAATTGCTAACTGGTTTATTGGCAGTTGTATAGCAGTTAATAATTGCAATCTGTTTTTAATTTTTTAGGTTGTCCTGAAGAGGTTAAAAACCTCATTGTTCCCATAGCATTCCAAAGTTGTGTGCGACTCCAGAAGGCATTGCAACTGTCAGTATAAATATTTGCTAGCTGGTCTTTAGCAAGTTGAAAAGCTAAGGTTAGGGCAATTAATTCAGCTTGTTGTGCTGACTTTTTCTGGTAAATAAGAGCTTTCACTTATGTTTACTGTGAATGTTATCGCATATCCAACTCTATAATGCCCCTGCTTATCCTTTAAGTAGAACCTATCTGTAAATCAAATTAGATTAGCCTTATCAGTAGGAGCTTCTTGTCATTCCTGGGAACAAGAAGATAATCTGTTAATAAAATGCAGTCGTGATTGTCTTCTTCCTGTAGTTCTGGAAGCAAAGTTGCAGGCTTAAGGGTTGCAGGCTTAAGGTTACTACGGAAAGCAACAATACTTCATAAGAAACTAGTCGGTTTACAGAAGTGCTGAGTGTGGTGAGAGTTTAGAAGGACTCAACTGAGTGTGGAACATAAATAAAGAATACCCCCATTGCTATTTCTTCAGTAGTCTTATGTTAAGAGTGAAATAGCCCCCATACAAGGTGGAAGTCCTTTTGAGACGGAATCAAATTTAGTTTTAGAGCATAAAAGCAAGTCATCTACAAACATTTTTGTAAAAGCATCAGAGTAAGACAACTCTACAAGTGACAAAACACTTAAAAAACATGGTTAAAGACCTGATTACAATGCAGTTGTTAAGGAAATTTGGCTATTTCTGTGACATACAACACTTTAAAATAATAACTGGAAATACGACTGAGAACATACCACAGCATTTCAAATTTTAGGGAGTTCATATAATTTCTAGAACATTAGAACCTTCTAAGAAGGTTGATCATTACTTATTTGACAATATTTCCCATGTAATTTAACATACCAAAAAATGCTAATTAGTTTAATATCTCTCTTTGATGTGTTCAGGGACCCTCTGAAACATTCCGAAGTTAACTAGAGGTCAAAAGAACATTTAGAATTTGAGGAAGTTTGTCAAAGACACCAAAAGGTTTCTTTTTTTTTTTACATCTTTATTGGAGTATAATTGCTTTACAATGGTGTGTTAGTTTCTGCTGTATAACAAAGTGAATCAGTTATACATATACATATGTTCCTATATCTCTTCCCTCTTGCGTCTCCCTCCCTCCCACCCTCCCTGTCCCACCCCTCTGGGTGGTCACAGAGCACTGGAGCTGATCTCCCTGTGCTATGCGGCTGCTTCCCACTAGCTATCTATTTTACGTTTGGTAGTGTATATTTGTCCATGCCACTCTCTCACTTTGTCACAGCTTACCCTTCCCCCTCCCCATATCCTCAAGTCCATTCTCTAGTAGGTCTGTGTCTATTCCTGTCTTACCCCTAGGTTCTTCGTGACATTTTTTTTCTTAAATTCCATATATATGGTTTAGCATATGGTATTTGTCTTTCTCTTTCTGACTTACTTCACTCTGTATGACAGACTCTAGATCTATCCACCTCATTACAAATAGCTCAATTTCGTTTCTTTTTATGGGTGAGTAATATTCCATTGTATATATGTGCCACATCTTCTTTATCCATTCATCCGATGATGGACACTTAGGTTGTTTCCATCTCCTGGCTATTGTAAATAGAGCTGCAATGAACATTTTGGTACATGACTCTTTTTGAATTATGGTTTCCTCAGGGTATATGCCCAGTAGTGGGATTGCTGGTCATATGGTAGTTCTATTTGTAGTTTTCACAGCAAGATCCTTTTTGACCCACCTCCTAGAGAAATGGAAATAAAAACAAAAATAAACAAATGGGACCTAATGAAACGTCAAAGCTTTTGCACAGCAAAGGAAACCATAAACAAGATTGATGATGGCCATTCTGACTGGTGTGAGATGATATCTCATTGTAGTTTTGATTTGCATTTCTCTAATGATTAATGATGTTGAGCATTCTTTCATGTGTTTGTTGGCAGTCTGTATATCTTCTTTGGAGAAATGTCTATTTAGGTCTTCTGCCCATTTTTGGATTGGGTTGTTTATTTTTTTGTTATTGAGCTGCATGAGCTGCCTGTAAATTTTAGAGATTAATCCTTTGTCAGTTGATTCATTTGCAAATATTTTCTCCCATTCTGAGGGCTGTCTTTTGGTCTTGTTTATGGATGCTGGAGAGGGTGTGGAGAAAAGGGAACACTCTTGCACTGCTGGTGGGAATGTGAATTGGTACAGCCACTATGGAGAACAGTATGGAGGTTCCTTAAAAAACCAAAAGGTTTTAAACGTTTGGCTAAGTAGGATCATAGTCGCTGTGAAACAATAGTCATTTAACCAAAGTGACAATAAAAGATTTCAAAGGCAAATACAGAAAGTTACAACAGATTGCTTAAGAGTTAGCAGAGAAACTTTACAAGCTATTTATCAAAGGAGATCAATATTTCAAGAAAACTTTTTTCTCTTAACAGAGTAAGAAAACAATTTCTAGTTTTGTACAACTTTACTATCAAAATTCATTCACTTGATTAAATTCAGTCTATTCTTAGTTTGTCCTGACCATGCATAAAACTCTTTTTTCAGGGTTCCTTTTTAAAATTTCTTTTATTAAATTTTTTTTTTCTGATCCATGCATCCTTTATTCCATCACCAACCGCTGTGCTGCATCCAAGCAACAGTACACAAACTGGCAACCAACCGCAATTCACCTGTACAACGATCGGAGGCTTACGGTACATTTAAGGCTTTTAAATTTGGAAACAAATTTTTTTAATAAAACCAAAGAACCCTCAAACCCAAACCCCCAACCAATCAAGTAGTGTAGCAGTTTTAAGCATCTTACACTTCTGATGCTTAACGGAGCAACTCCAGTGTGAAAACCCAAATAACTCCTAAACTAGAAAGATTAGTTTAGTGAAATTTTAATTACATAAATTTTTCAAAGCATAAACTTGTAATTTTTTGTCTTGGAAGTGTTCTTAAATTTTTAATAGAAAACATAGGAATAAAAACATATTAACAGGGACTTCCCTGGTGGCGCAGTGGTTAAGGATCCGCCTGCCAGTGCAGCAGACGCAGGTTCGAGCCCTGCTCCAGGAAGACCCCACATGCCGTGAAGCAGCTAAGCCCGTGCGCCACAACTGCTGAGCCTATGCTCTAGAGCCTGTGAGCCACAACTACTGAGCCCACATGCCACAACTACTGAGGCCTGTGCACTTAGAGCCCATGCTCTGCAACAAGAGAAGCCATCACTATGAGAAGCCCACGCACTGCAACAAAGAATAGCTCCCGCTCTCTGCAACTAGAGAAAGCCCACACGCAGCAACGAAGACCCAATGCAGCCAAAAGATAAAAAAATAAAAATAAAAATAAATAAATGAACATTAACAAAATGTAGGCAATCATTTACATTACAAACAAGGAATTTGCAGTTTGTTGTTGTAGACTGACAGAAGAAAACTACCCATTAAGAATCTATGCACAATGTAATTGCAGATATGTACGGTACTTTAAAAAAGCCTACAAGGAGGACTTTACAGAAGGACAGTCGGCTAGGTTCTTTGTTAGACCAACCAGACGAAGGAAATATTAAATCTCTGTGGACTAGTAATAAGTTTACTCTTAAAAAAAAAAAACCCAGGGCTTCCCTGGCAGCACAGTGGTTAAGAATCTTCCTGCCAATGCAGGGGACACGGGTTCGAGCCCTGGTCTGGGAAGATCCCACATGCTGCAGAGCAACTAAGCCTGTGTGCCACAGTTATTGAGCTTGCGTTCTAACTAAGCCCGTATGCCACAACTACTGAGCTTGCGCTTTAGAGCCCACGAGCCACAACTACTGAGCCTGTGTGCCGCAACTACTGAAGCCTGCACGCCTAGAGCCTGTGCTCCGCAACAAGAGAAGCCATCAGAATGAGAAGCCCACGCACCGCAACAGAGTACCCCCGAGGGGCTTCCCTGGCGGCGCAGTGGTTGGGAGTCCGCCTTCCAATGCAGGGGACACGGGTTTGTGCCCCGGTCCGGGAGGATCCCACATGCCGCGGAGCGGCTGGGCCCGTGAGCCACGGCCTCTGAGCCTGGGCGTCCGGAGCCTGTGCTCCGCAACGGGAGAGGCCACAACAGTGAGAGGCCCGTGTACCACAAAAGAAAAAAAAAGAGAGAGAGTACCCCCGCTCGCCACAACTAGAGAAAGCCTGTGTGCAGCAACAAAGACCCAATGCAGCCAAAAATTAAAAAATAAATATATTTTAAAAAACCAACCAGTTTCCTTTTGTTTAAGAATATTCCAGAATATTCTTAAGAATATAATTTATAATAATTATAAATATTATGTTTATATGGTTCCAGTTGATGAAGCTGTTCACAACAGTTCCAGTAAATTACCCTTTAATTGATTTGTTTGGGGGAAAGATCGGTATGTTAACAAAAATTAACGAAGGAATTTTCATCACAATGGTTTCCAGTTACACTATCACAGTTTCACAAGTGGATTGGACCCCTGAATCCAGTGGCTGAAAGAGAGCTGCAGGTCAAATACTGAGAATGGGGATGGAGAGAGGTTGAGTCCTGCATAAGTGAATCCTACTGTGATGGGTTAGGTAGAGAAAGGGATGTGAGCATCCTTTTTACAGCATGAGAAAACGGTCCCCCCCCCCCCCACTCAGCTCTCATTCCCATTCTGCAAAGCAATGAAGCTGGAAATCACAACTGTTCAGTTTAACATGTGTGAGTTGGTAGAACCTCTAGATACAAAAGACCAGGATGTCCTCAGCTCTTTGATTGATTAGGACGCCTGAAAAGCTGGGCACTTCCTCGTGATTATCACGCCATGACAGCTATCCAGTTAAAGGATGTGCAAAACAGAGGACTCTTGTAGATGAGATAAAATCAAGTCATCTTGAGGAATTAGAAAGTTCGTGAGATATGAACTGTTTTAGTCTTTCTAGGTACTGTGCATAAAGCTCTATTTCATTATGTCTTTGACCCAGAGGGGCTCCACGGCCCGGGAACAGCGTTCATACATGGCCAGGCCATGGGAGAAATCAATGACCTCGTCCTTTGTACCGTGAATGACCAACACGGGAGAGGTGACTTCAGATATCTTGTCAATACTGGGGAAAGCATCAAAGCACTATGTTTTCCTGGTATTGGGAAAAGCCACACGCAATCCAGGCATCAGAGGCGAACGGAGAATTACGGCTGCACACTCATACCCGGAGGCCAGGTGTACAGTGGGGACGGTCCCAATGCTCTGACCATACAGGATGATGTTCTCAGCACTTACGCCATACCAGGCACGCAGCGCGTGCCACGCGGCGTCGATATCAGCATAGAGGTTCTTCTCAGAGGGCTTGCCCGAGCTGACGCGCCATAGCCGGAGTAGTCGTAGGAGAAGATGTTGCAGTTGATGTGCGAACGACGGCCGATGTATCACAAGGAGCTACACGTCTGGCCCAGGTCCACGGCACTGCCTTGGGAGAAGAGCTGCGTGTAGCCGCTGGAGGGCGCGCAGCGCACGAACATGCAGCCGAGCCGGCTGTCCCGGGCCGTGCGCGAGAAGACCTCGACGGCGTCCAGCTCGCGCCGCGAGTACTGCCAGTCGGCGCGCTAGCTCAGGTGCAGGCTGCAAGCGCCGGGCCCCGTGCCCTCCTCGGGCCGCTGCTGCGCGGGCTAGGCTGCTGCGCCGGCTGGGGGCCGCGCTGCTCGGGCGCCAGCACTGTGTAGGTGGGCTGGGGCCGCAGGAAGGCCAGCTTGGCGGCGATGCGGCTCGGGCAGGGCGGGCAGCAGAAGAGCCAGCACAGCTCACCCGGCGAGGAGCCGTTCATCCTGACGCCCGGTTCGGGCATCGGGGCGGCCTCGAGCGGCCAAGCAAGGCGGCTGCAGTCCGTCGGCCCTGCGGCAGGAGTAGGAGGAGGAGCGGAAGGAGAGGCTCAGGAAGGGCGAGGCGGGGCTGGCCTGGCCGGCGTGGCGCTTCGAGTCGCGGCGGGTCAGCTACGGCCCGGAGGGCCGGGCGAGGCGCAGGCGGCCGGGGCCCGCGCGCCGCACAGAAAGCGGCGGGCCACGGCTGCGGCTGACACGCCGGCTCCAGCGCGCCGCCCCCCACCCCCCTCACGCCCGCCGCCTCCACTTTCGGGTTACCCAGGGTTCCTGTTTTTAGATTTAAATTAATTTCTACGCCACTTCATAACACAATCTTACAGTAAAGCAGAAAAGATATTTATTAATAGTCTGGAACATATTCTGTGTCTCGGTAATAAGACGTCAAAAGTAGGTAAACATAAATTCCTTTAGCAATTAATGTTCAGTATTTTATCTTATTAAAAAATGATCTAGAGGGAATTCCCTGGCGGTCCAGTGGTTAAGACTCCGGCTTTCACTGCCATGGACCCGGGCTGGATCCCTGGTGGGGAAACCAAGATTCCACAAGCAGGGAAGTGAGGCCAAAAAAAAAAAAAAAAAAAGATCTAGACATTCAATGAATTTCCATCATTTAACTTAATTTAGCAGAACTCTAAAGCTTCAAGTTACCAAATACCTGGAGAAACTGTTTTTAGGCAGATATAAAACATAATTATTTCTAAAGAGCACACCCAAAAACTTTTATCTTATTTATCTCTATTTCATTACTTATGAAAATATCATACCAAGTTAATTTTATTGTTGACCAATTTTATAACAGAGATAACATGAGCTTACTGATTTTCAGTAAACCTAGGTTTAGTATAGTATATTGTATAGTACATTAAAAGTACTATACTTAATGTTGATGACTCTAAGGACATGTCTATATCAATTAAACCATCAACTTAATCTTATTTTTACTCATTAAAAATCCTAGATCATGTGATTCTTTAAAAATGTTGGGCTAGTTTATGTTATATTTAGAAATATTTGATTTGTAAGTGCTTATTTTTAAGTCAGCTCTTTAACAAATTAATTTCGATAACACCATCCGAAGGTAGACACATATTATATTTTTAACATACACACAGACATATGAATATCCAGAAAGACACAGAGATCTCATAGTTTTCCTGCTTGAGTTTAAAAAGGTTTCTTTTCCCTTTTATTCTCTCAGTTTTAAGTTCTAATTTAGCCAGAGCTGTAGTCTCAGGCGATGAGCACTGTGTTTAAATTTCAAGGGCATGATAAGTATTATAAATCCAAGCTTTCCCCTAGGAATACTTTTATTCTCTGAGTCAGAATTTTGGAAACATGTTTTATCAAGCTGGCTTTCTCTGCTTATGAAAAAAAGTTTTGGAATGTCAGAAGAGCTCTATCCTGGCCATTTAAGATTTAAGATAATGCTTACAAGTGTTGGCTTCGTTCCAATTGTACATGAAGCCAGCTGGAGTTCCAGTGGCTGGCTGTCCATCAGGGAGCTTTAGAGCCTTTGAAGCATGTTTTCCCATTACTAATTTGGTAGTCTAATTTAGATATGATCTGAACAAATTTCTCAGGGCAGTGTGATGAATCCCATGTGTGCTGCTTCTGAGCCTAGCTCCCCAAGGAGTTACCCTGGGGTTGGTTCCACTCTTCTATGTGTCTTGGTTTCTCCCTCTGACAGTCTAAAACTGCCGTGAGTGCTTGGAGCACTGGGTGATCAGCCATAATTATTGTGCATCCCCATGAGCAGAATTTACTTAATGGTTGTAATGGGATCCCCTGTGGGACCACTGCTAGTCATGAGGATTGACCCTCAAGACACTTCTGCTGGGTTCCCAGTTGCCTGAGAATGCCTTGTGGCCACAGGAGCAAGGGTCCCTTTTCTTTTGAGCTGCAGGCTAAGTCTCTCATTTCACTAGCAAACATATATACACCATATACACCATATGCACCACATATACACAATCTTTCCAACTTAAGCCAAAAATCTAAAAAGCCAGCTAAGCCAATTCACTCTAAAATTCCCCCTTGCCTAGGAAATGTCAGTACATCCCTGGGACTCCAAGTCCCAAGAAAAATAGCTTGAGTAAAATTTAGGATGTCATTTAAACCAGTGATGTCCGGATATCAGGAGAACTCACCAAAGCACCTGAGGAATACCTAGAAGCCTGTGGGGCTCAAAGGGCCAGGGCTTGTACCAAGCACTGGTTCGGGGTAGACTCCAGGTTTCCACTGGTGGGTGTCTCTGATATCCTGCCAACTATGCCAAGCAAATGTTGACGGAAATTCAATTAACAATGAAGATAAAAGAGAATTTTAACTCAGGTCAAACTGGGGATTATAATGCAGGAGGCAGATGCTGAGAAGCTCTGAGAACTGTTCCTCCTCTTAGTAGAAGGCACAGTCATATACATTTTTGAGACAAAGGATCCTACAACAAAATGACATGCTGACATTTTACATAAAGTTCACCAAAAATACATTGTCCGGGTAAACACGTACAAAGCAAGCGGTATGTCACTATGACCCCCTATAGAGTTGTGAAAGAATGATAATCTTTAAGAAGTTGCATTGCTAGCGTCAGAAAAAGACAAAAAAACTGCTGTGGAGCAGGCATTC